GACTCCATCTTTGAAGGTGGTGGTTTTATTTTTAGAGCCAAGATAAACATCGAAAAAGAAAAAATGAAATATTCCTATCATCTTAAAGAGGACCATACGAAAAAAGAAATGTCGTTAGTACGCGTAAATGTTTTTACTTTTAATACCCGCAAATATAATAATGCTAGGCCAAACAAGCACGCTCTATACGATATTCCGTGGTTCTATTTATCAGAAATTCACTTAATTTAACGACTTAAAAAATGGAACTCGAAAGCAGACAACAATACATGATAGACAAACAAAAAGAGTTGAAAATAAAGTTAAGACAGTACTGCAGGAAAACATAGAGTAGAATCGATTCTTTTTTCAAAACATCGAGCACAGTTCTAACGGTAGGAGTAACGGTGGCAACGGCCGTGACTGGTGGATTAATGCTTCCGGTCAACCGTATTGGCTGCATTAACAGCCGTTCAAACGACCTCTTGCGACCCCATCACTTTAGGTTTCACAAGCAAAAAGAAAGCTCATTATAAAAAGAAAACGGATATCTTGAATATGTATCTTAATCAATTGTACATCTTTTTCGAAAGATCGAGAGAAGACAAGAACATAACAGTTGAAGAATTAAAAGAATTCAATGAAATTTTGGACAAATTCCATACAGGAATATCAGCGGTCAAAATAAAGAAATAATCAAAAATATATACTTAAAAAGATATGAATAAAATCGAACACGATGAAACATTGATAGAAAACGTCCTATTTTTCGATGTTATCAAGGCTATCTCTGATAAATTTAAAACATTCAAAGGACAAATTAAAATAGATGGAGAGATAGTCGAGGAAGGGAATCACAGGCAATACATGTCACTCCTCGGTTTCAATACCAAAACTTTTCAGAACATCTTTTCAAATATGGATAAAAAATCTGATGCTTCCGATTGGTATTTTACAGGAAAAATAATTTTAATGAAAGACAATTTCTAAGAAATCAAAAGAACGAGAGTTGGCAGAGGAGGAACTGATCTACTTAAAAAGATAAATAAATACGAAGGTGAAAATTGTTACATACCTACAGATGGTCACTGTTTTATCAAATGCGTCAATCGTGTTTACAAAGATTGTAAATTTCAAGAATACACCAACGGGTTTTCAAAAGGAAATAGAAAAGGAGTGATGACTTGTGCTAGAATGAAGGAATTCAACAAGACATTCAACACTTCGTTTCAAATTTATAATCCCAAAAACAGACATTTACATCCCAGAGACGTTCACGATGAATTAGATTGGGTTTTTTACTTACACAACTCGCATTTCTGTCTGATTAGAGAAGCCAAAAATGTTTGGGAATTCAAGAAATAGAAGACAATTACGTACAGGTGTGGAAAACGTGTAGAGACGATAACGCAGTAACACAGGTTTCACCTCCCAAACTAAACGTGTTTTCAAGTATGAGTGATGATGCGTTATTCGCTTGGGATTGCGAGACGTATTCAGAAAAAGACACGCGAAGAGCAATTCCGTGTTGTTGCACTTTGGTCAATTAGA